GACGCTTAGGCAGAAGAGGGGAAAATCCAACATCAATTTACCTATGGAAATGAACAGAGAGGTGTTAAGCCAGGAGTAACCTCGTAGATCCAGGTATTTCCTCTGCAATAAACATTTATCTGTTTTAAAATCATTTCTATTGAGTGGTCTGTCTGCCTCGGATGGAACAGCCAGCCGGTGTTCTGTTTGGGTCAGAACAATGCCACTATAGAAAAAGCTCTCCCATTGTAAACATTGATGAACAAGAAACAAAGGAAAAATAAAACCCGTGTTACATTTGCAAGGATTCATTTATATATAAACATGCACATTTTGAAATATTATGGTGAATCTCACAGAAATCTCATAGAAATCTCAATTTAAATAGAGACACAGTAAATTTCATAGGAAAAGCAGATTCTAATTTTTGTCCCATCATCTGCCTCCCAGGTCTTTTGAATTGTAATTACCATAATTTCTAGGCACTAAACCAGACATGTCAAACTCGCGACATCACCTGACGTCGCACGGCGTATCGGAACTTTTTTCCCATTGCCGGCAATGGGGTGGGCACAGTTTCCTTGTGACACGTCCAGCCCGCGGGCCAGCAGTTTGACACCCCTGCACTAAACTGTGAATTTATTATTATGTTGGCACTGAACCTAGCCAGTAGTGGTTTATTCAATAACCCATAACTGAAAGAAACCCTGACAGTCTGAATGTGTGAGACCAGTCACTGTTGGAAAGGTATTTTTGTTTTCCTCCTGATTGATTCCTGTTTTATTTTTGGTTACCCCTCCAAGCCTTTCTAAGTAATCACATAGGTGTAAGGCAGAAGCAATTAATAAAAGGGAAAAGAACACAAAACATTTACCAAATGAGCTATAGTTACTTGGTCTGCAAGATTTATTCTACTTTTTTTCAGCAAATCATGCTGGTTAGACCAACACTAGGGAAGGCTGTTATCCTCTACTGACATTGATGTGGGATTTTTTTCATTTTTCCTTTCTCCTGCAAAGGTGAATACGTGAATGTACTAGAGCCAGCACCGATCATACTAGATCCTTGTTTTGGTGAGTGAGGGAAGCTGAAAGGATGGGCAAGGGAAGACATCCTTATTCTCAGCAATGCATTCATTTCCTTTGGCCTATCGGTAAAAAACAGCCCTTTTTAGCTCCAGAATTGCATGCCTTACTGAATGGTGGGTTGGAGAGGGTGTCTTACTCCTATCCAGGCAAACCTACAGCATCCCTTGAGCCTTTTCCTCCAAGTGGCTTCAAAACAGCTATGGGCACTAGAAAAGGAAAATAAAAGTCCTTCCTTATTTATTGTTTCTCATGTTCTAGCAGTTGGCACTAGTGATCGGGAAAGTGAAGATGATGTTCCAGACTACGAGAATATCTGTTTTGGACTTTGAACTATCCAGACCCCAGGAAGGGGATTGGGGTAAATAAGACTTGAATTGTGATAAGAGATAATGGTGTGTACTAATCCCAGCATTGCCATTGTTGTGGCAACACCAAATCAATTTGGCTGATCTTGAAAAAGCTAATCATGATTGGACTTGGTATACACCATCCCAGAGTTGTGGTCATCAGAAGAACACCTTGGAAGTCACTGAGAAAATACTCAGTGTGTATTCAGATGTGTTTGAATAGTTAACAGAAGTTGAGCAAATTTACAAGAACATAATTTTTTTTAAACTAAGCAGCCTAGAGTTGTCCCAAATAGCAAGCTGGGCAGTGTGTGTAAAGCCTGTGATGTCTGTTGCTGAAAAGGCTGCAAATCCCACTGTATGCAGCCTAAAGTATCATTTCCTTTTTTCTTCCGTCTAGGTTGAAAGGAGGATTTGTAAGGATCAGTTTTGCACTGGTGCATCTATTCATCTTTGTGAAGGATGGATCACCACCAAGGACACCTTCTCCTGAACAACTTCCAGTTTTGCCGTAACCTGTTTTTTTCTCCCTTGCACTTTGGATGACACATCCTGAGAATTTCTCCCAATTATCAGTAGCAGTATTTTGATGGACCTTTCCCAAAGCAATTCAATTTTGCGTTTAAGTGTTGTTGACTAATAAAGAACCAAGAATTCCACCATCATTTCTACTTGAGGGATAATTGATCCAGGGAACAGAGAGAAGCCTGGATTGGTCTACTAGATGGTAACGAGGATCAATGTGGTCAGTTGAGCAAATGAGTCTTGGTGATTAAGCGATGCAGAAGAATGATCCCCTTAAACATTAGTTCCATTAAAAATGAAGTATTGTGTGCCATTTTTTTTCTTAGAGAGTAGTGTTATTAATTATGTAGATGTGACAACAATGAGATATACAATGTATCATATAATGTTTGCTTTACTTCTAAATACACAAAAAGCTGTGATATGCAGGTTCTGAGGTTTTGCTGGTTAAAGAAATACAGGAAACCAGAAAGTGCCTTTAAGTTTTACGTTTTTATTCAGCTGAATAGAGACGGACTCCTCTAAATGAGGGGAGCAATGAATGACAAGAAATCCTTGTATTTATTCTGTATAATTACATAAGCAACCCATCCAGCAAAGCTGGCACACATAAGATAAAGATTGCACCCAGTAAGTCTGGCACACTGTAGATAAGAAGGGAGAAAGCAGAAGTAGCTAAACATGTTCCCATTCGGGTGTTCCCTAAAGATATCGTATGTTCTTGGGTGGGTTAGGACATTGGGTGTTGTCCTTGCTGTCCTTTCCTGACCCTGCATCCAGGACTCTGCAAGTGACCAAAGAGAGAGAAGCCATCTATATGTATTCACAATTAATACTGTCCCCTAATTCCTGGTCATCAATCCCCCCTTTCATGCTTCGAGCAGTGCGTAGGAGCATGACCACCCAACTGAAGAGACAAAGGATAAGCTTTTGTAGTAAGTTGCCCACATCATTTAGGACAAGCAGAGGTGATTAGGGGCAAGCAGTGAAGGACACAGCAGAAAACAATAAGAAATACTACAAAGAGAAGACCAAGGAATACCAAACTATCCCCATCCTGGGAGCCAACTGGTAAGAAAGAGAATATACCATTGAAGACCTCCCATACAGTATCAGTAGAAACCTTTAGATCTTTAGGGCAATTCCTAATTCCCAGGGTACATGTACCAGACCAATAAGCCGGCAAAGACTCATAGGCAAATTGACCACAAAGGAACCATCAGTCCAGGTGGACAGCAAGATAAATGCTTGGTTTGCCTTCCAACCCCACAGGCATACAAGCCTTAACACCAGACATATAATCCATGACCCCATCGCTGTAAACAAACTACAGAGAGCAGAGGGGTCCTCCTTGTAGACAAGGCCAAAGGACTGATGACATCTATGCCAATCGTCCCACATGCTAGTACTGACCTTCCATGTGACTGTGCAAGGTACATAGATCCTAACTTATATCTGGAAGAAGAATTAAAATGACTAAGGCAGGCTGCTGTAGGGTGCTGTAGTGCCCCTAGTTTAGCAATCTGCAGCTTTCCTACCCCAAACACAGGAAGTGTCCAGCCCCTTGTTGCACTGTTCATGCTGAACATAAAGGCTCCTAAGGGTGTAGCTTCCATGACCAATCCATGTGTACCAGTGGGGGTATATGTGTGCAGATCCAGCAATTTGTTACATTCAAAAGCTTAACCCATGCTTGCATATTCTATATTCTAAATTCCTAAAGAAGTACTGGGAAATTGGGGACCACCTCGGCCTTCACCAGGACCAGCTGGATTACACCCCAAGGTTCTCAAGGAACTGGCAGATGTGATCTCAGAACCACTGAACTATATTTTTCAAAGATCTTGGAGCACTGGGGAACTACCAGAGGACTGGAAAAGAGCTGATGTAGTTCCCATCTTCAAAAAAGGAAAAAAATTGGATCCAGGAAATTATAGACCTATCAGCCTGACCTCAATACCTGGGAAGATCCTGGAAAAGATAATCAAACAACGAATCAGCGAACACCTAGAGGCAAACAAAGTCATTACTAAAAGCCAACATGGGTTTGTCAAAAACAGATCATGCCAGACAAACCTTATTGCATTCTTTGACCAAGTGACAAAATTAGTGGATCAGAGGAATGCTGTTGATATAATTTACTTGGACTTCAGTAAGGCATTTGATAAAGTAGATCACAACCTACTACTCGATAAGATAGAAAAATGTGGGTTAGACAGCATCACCACCAGATGGATTCGTAGCTGGCTGACCGGCCGTACTCAGCGTTTGGTCCTCAATGGAACCGCATCTACATGGAAGGAAGTGTGTAGTGGGGTGCCCCAGGGCTCTGTTGTAGGCCCAGTGCTCTTCAACATCTTCATCAACGATTTGGACGAGGGGATAGATGGGGAACTCATCAAATTTGCGGATGACACCAAGCTGGCAGGAATAGCCAACACTCCAGAAGACAGGCCTAACATACAGGAGGACCTGGACAGACTTGAACACTGGGCGCTATCTAACAAAATGAAATTCAATGGTGAAAAAAGTAAGGTTCTACATTTAGGCAAGAAAAACCAAATGTACAGGTATAGTATAGGGGGTACCTTGCTCAATAGTAGTAACTGTGAGAGGGATCTCGGAGTCCTAGTGGACAATCACTTAAATATGAGCCAGC